TACGGTTGTCAATCCGAAACAATGACTGTGTGAATACAGCATTTGAGAGTGAAACCTGTTAGTAAATACAGTTTTCAATCCCAAACACTTACTTTGTGAATGCAGCTTTTGAGAGTGAAACCTGTTAGTAAATACAGTTTTCAATCCCAAACACTTACTTTGTGAATGCAGCTTTTGAGAGTGAAACCTGTTAGTAAATACAGTTTTCAATCCCAAACACTTACTTTGTGAATGCAGCTTTTGAGAGTGAAACCTGTTAGTAAATACAGTTTTCAATCCCAAACACTGACTGTGAAACCTGTTAATAAATAAGATGTCAATCCAAAACACTGTGTGAACACAGCTCTTGAGAGTTATCCATCAATGAATGAACACAATAATTTTTTTTGTTGATACATACGGTTGTCAATCTCAAACACTGCTTGTGTGAATATACTGTAGCCACTGAATTACATGTTTTATGAAATCTTACGTGTCAAAATCTGCAAAGTAGATTAGATCAATGAGTCAAATAGCTTTGAGAGTGGACTAGAAAGAATACAATGTGCTCACACCCACCGTTATAAACGCTAACTTAATTGGACAAAGCACTGTGCAATTAGAGGATGATTAGGAGATGTGGATCTCATCTGCTCTTCCATCCCTGTTTTATATTGCAGATATTAAGTCTCGTAGCCTGAAGTGGTGTATTTTAAAGCTTAGGTGTGATAAGCTCCTGTCTGAGCTTTGACAATGATTGAATGTGTTTTAAACAGCAGGGGATGGGCTTATTTCTCATGCAGGAAGTGAGCGAGTTCTGTCTCTGCACTCCACTCTGATCCATAACCAACCGGCTAAATCAGTAGAGGCGAAAATGGGTATAGCTGTGGAGCTTTGTCAGGAGCGGCCCAGACAATGTTATGATGAATGTGCCAGGGAGAGGGAGATGTATTTTTCCGCACCCAAAAATCTGGCTCACCTCCTTTCTCGCTAACTTTAAAATACATCATGACTCTGCAGGGGCATAATGAACTCCATCAAAAATCAGCCGGCATTAACATCATCTCTAACCAGCTGATCCGTCGGCTCAGGATACCGCTCGTGTGAGCTCAAGAACACGAGTAATAGGCAATCAACCTCGCATAAAAGAACAATAGCAGCCATCATTCATTCTCATGTACAATTAGCGCCGCACTGACTGAGTGATGGCCCCTTAGCCCTCCGGCGCTCTGACATGCCACTTCCTGGCTGACTGCCCGCGACGCGGAGGAAGAGCGTGACACTGTGCGAAGTCTCTCACACAGAGACGACTTAAAAGGCTAATTGGGCCTGGAGGTTCTGATCCATCAGAGATCCCAGCACCCATCAGCTCTACAAGTCGCCGTTTGATGGCTAAGATCTGACCACATGACCTTCTCGGGTGGATCTGAGGACCAATGGACTCTTAGATCATCAGAGACGAGGAATAAGATAGAAGTGCCACTAACTGTCATGCAAAACCGTTCTTGGAGCTCGTTCCAAGTCATTGTGGTGCCAATTCCCGAGGGACTCGCATCTTGAGACAGAAGGGAAAAATAAAACATTTACATAGGCAATGCATCTCATTAATTATAATTAATGAAAGTGGTGCCTGTTTCCTGGGTGCCCCTGTTAGCACTACTGTAGGTAAATTTGCAGCGCACATATACACAGGCAGCTATTTTCATATCCAGCGTGACAATCACAGGGCTTTCTGAGCGCAATTGATGCAGTGCGGCCTCGACGGACGACGCATCTTAACATGACTCAGGAGAACAGGATATTAAAAAGAAGTCCCCTATGTTTCAATGACAGCACTGCGCGGAGACACGGAGAACATGTTGACACTGAGGGGTTTTCTTTATCCTGCCTGCGAGAGGGAATGAAAGGGAGAGAGTGTTTCAGTGCAGCCATTCCAGCACGTAGAGAGCAATATGAGTTCTATTTACTGAAATATGGCCTCATCTCGCCGCTGCAGCGCAAGATTCGAAGAATTATTAGCTAGGGTTCACTGTTGACATGGGTGCAGTATCCAGTGAGGGGATTTCATGACTCTCAGCGCCATGCAGAGAAATAACTGACATAGAATGATCATATTCCAGGCAGAATTTAAACACTGGTTTTAAAGCAGACTAGGATGAGTTTCAGTTTTAGAGTGGAGGGGCCAAAATAGGGGGCTAGGTGGTCTGCACATTTGATATACCAGCCAATAGTGGGTGAATTTTGAACAATATTGAATTATTTAGTACTCTGCCTATGCTTTTATTTCTATTCGATTGTTTATTCTTGGGAATAAAGTACACAGATTGTCATTACAACAGCAAATGAGATATTATAGAATTATTACAGAATGAGATATTAATTCAGTAATAACTTTACAGCATTCAACCCAGACTAATAATTTTTAAAAAATCATTCCGTTTTATTTGATTTATTCAGATACCATAAAACTATTTTGGCTCCTCCTATAGCACTGCATTTTTTATTTCTTTAAAAATGTTCGCTTTTTCTTTCACTAGTTTTTTTCTTTAAAGTCCCTTAAACTTTCTCATTTGCTTTCTTAAATTCTTTGTGAAATTGACGCTCTGATCGAAGAGCTGCGCAGACGCCTCTTGCCGTTGCCATGGCGATGTCTGATATGACTTAAACCCTGCACTCTGCCTCTCTTCTCCTTTCTTTTTTTAACTCTATTTCCATTTGTAGCTCCACTAATCAAGGACTGCCAGCAAACACAGAACAAACAGATGTCACCGATTAATTTTCCCATCACTTGAATTAGAAATTAAATTAAAACAAAAAGATTTTCTGCTGGAGTTCAATAAACAACTCATGCCTGTTTCTTTCTTTTTTTTTTCAACTAAGAACAGGAAGCCGAGGTTACAAATGCACAGGCTCAACAAATTGGACAACAGAAGATTGGAAAACGGTAGCCTGGTCTGATGAGTCTCCATTTCTGCTGCGACATTCAGATGGTGGGGTCAGAATTTGAGGTAACCAACATAAATTCATCCTGCCTTGTATCAACAGTTCAGTCTGGTGGTGGTGGTGTAATGGTGTGGGGGATATTTGTGGGGGCCCTCTTTGGTCCCCTTAATGCCAACTGAGCATAATATAAACCCACAGCCTACCCGAGTATTGTTGCTGACCATATCCATCCCTTTATTACCACAGTGGCTACTCCCAGCAGAATAACACATCATGTCATAAAACTCAAATCATCTCAAGCTAGTTTCTTGAACATGACGATGAGTTCACTATACCAGACCTCAGTCCAACAGTGCACCCTTGGGATGTGGGAGATTTGCATCATGGATGTGCAGCTGACAAATCTGCAGCAACTGAATGATGCTATTGTGTCAATATGGACCAAACTCTCTGAGGAATGTTTCCAGCAAGTTTTTGAATATATAATAAGTATTAAGGGCCCAACTCAGTACTAGCAAAGTGTACCTAATAAAGTGGCCAGTGAGTGTATAATTATTTATTAAATTATATACTAAAGCTTTTTTTTAATGAACATACAGTACATATAGATACTTACATACTGTACATGCACACATACATTTATACAAACAGATACACATATATAAAAACTATACAATTATACACTTATTTAGTATTAAAGTCAAATAATTTCTGTTACATATGACCCTGACAAAAATCCTACACTGAAGCTAAATGTTCATTTAAATTTTTGTTACAAAAAACAAACTAAAGATAAAATATACTTTAGATAGCAAAAGAATAAGTTTGGACATAAAATGAAAAATATAAAACACTTTCACACCACAAAAACATTTAGTCTTGACAAATTCTCAGAAGTTGAAATGACGGCACTTATTTTTCTCAGGCAGAGAGAGACTGTACTGAGCATGTGCTGAGTAAGTGTCATCACTCTAGTTTGTTTGTGACTGAGGAAATGTATTGTGTTACAACTGCCTCCGCTCTCCCCTAATAGCACAGAAAAAAAATGTGCAAGCTAAAACAAGCATGCTGCTCAAGAGAACATCTCATCCCACTGAAAATCCATATACAAAGCACAATAACCAAAATGTAAACACAACACCAACAAACAAAATGTGATCTTATTTTCCGATCATTTATGTGATCTTGAACTGCTGAACCCATTAGCAAATATTTGTACAGCTCTTTCTCTCTAGTCCAAAATTACAGAATGGTTTTTGGGGGGGGGGGGATGCATTTGCCGAACAAACACTTCAGCGTGACTTCCTCTGGCCACAGTTACATTAGCGATTAACCTCTGTATGAACCTTCTCTTTATGCTGCCGCTTAGGTCTGTGTGCAAAATCACAGAGAATATTTTTCTGCTAGGAAAACGAAGGAAGAATCTTCTTCATCACTCTAGTTTGTTTGTGACTGAGGAAATGTATTGTGTTACAATTGCCTCCGCTCTCCCCTAATAGCACAGAAAAAAAATGTGCAAGCTAAAACAAGCATGCTGCTCAAGAGAACATCTCATCCCACTGAAAATCCATATACAAAGCCCAATAACCAAAATGTAAACACAACACCAACAAACAAAATGTGATCTTATTTTCCAATCATTTATGTGATCTTGAACTGCTGAACCCATTAGCAAATATTTGTACAGCTCTTTCTCTGTAGTCCAAAATTACAGAATGGTTTTGGGGGGGGGATGCATTTGCCGAACAAACACTTCAGCGTGACTTCCTCTGGCCACAGTTACATTAACGATTAACCTCTGTATGAACCTTCTCTTTATGCTGCCGCTTAGGTCTGTGTGCAAAATCACAGAGAATATTTTTCTGCTAGGAAAACGAAGGAAGAATCTTCTACTGTTTGAGTGTCTAAGCCAAAAAGCACTCAAGATGTCACCCTGAGAAAAAAAGTCCCTGTGGAATAATGCCCTCGCTATAAAAACTGTGAGCGTAAAACTTTGAGTGCTATACTAATGCTGAAAATTGCTGGCACTAACACATAATGTGAAGCAGGCTCTCAAAGCTACACAACTGTGGCCAAACACTAAGTATGTTGTGTAAGACGTCCAAATGTAGAATGAGATGGATTGGCTTATTGAGTGGAGAGCCCACCTGGATGTACTTGTGGATGTGCCAGGAAGCTTGTTTGCCATCGTTGACAGACTCCACGGTGGTGTTGGCCAAGCCGGCGATGTCTCCACCGGCAAACACCCAGGGTTCACTGGTCTGCATGGTTTCACTGTTCACCTCAGGTGTCCCCCATCCGTTCAGCTTTACTGGTTCCAGGGCCTTCTTCACTGTTCCAGCACACAATATTACAGAGTGGTTATAGTGTATCAAAAATAGATTAAAACAATGTTTTTTACAACTATGTCAAGGTACACTGGACATTAAAAAAAAAAGTATATATATATGTATATCTCCACGGTGGTGTTGGCCAAGCCGGCGATGTCTCCACCGGCAAACACCCAGGGTTCACTGGTCTGCATGGTTTCGCTGTTCACCTCAGGTGTCCCCCATCCGTTCAGCTTTACTGGTTCCAGGGCCTTCTTCACTGTTCCAGCACACAATATTACAGAGTGGTTATAGTGTATCAAAAATAGATTAAAACAACGTTTTTTACAACTATGTCAAGGTACACTGGACAATAAAAAATAAAAAGTATATATATATATATATGTATATATGTATATATGTATATATATAAAAAATCAGATTTTTGAGCCAGTGTAAATGAAGCCTCATAGATTCAATGCCACAAAAAATTTGATTTTGATTTTACAGGCTTTTTAAGAGTTCAAATATTTTTGGTGCCACTAAGGACACATAACTATTCACTTAGTGACTGCTGGATGTTTAAACTGAAAAATGAAGACATGACTTCCTTTGATGAAGGAAGAAATGACAGTCCCTCCGGATGCCAGCCTGAGACCAGCAGAGGAATTTGTAACCTTGACGGCCCTGTTGATGCTTTTGCTGTGGCTGTTATTGTTGAGTATATTTTCCCTTTCCTTTTTTTCTAGATCAATCCCCTGGTCCTTTGTTTTTGATTTTACAGGCTTTTTAAGAGTTCAAATACTTTTGGTGCCACTAAGGACACATAACTATTCACTTAGTGACTGCTGGATGTTTAAGCTGAAAAATGAAGACATGACTTCCTTTGATGAAGGAAGAAATGACAGTCCCTCCGGATGCCAACCTGAGACCAGCAGAGGAATTTGTAACCTTGACGGCCCTGTTGATGCTTTTGCTGTGGCTGTTATTGTTGAGTATATTTTCCCTTTCCTTTTTTTCTAGATCAATCCCCTGGTCCCTCCGTCAGCTCTCCTCGCCTGACGCTCCAGTGATCATGAAGACTGCCGGCCTCATCACTTTCATAAAAAAAAAAAAAACATCCTCACACCTCATCCTGTTCGTTTCCCTCCTCCCCCACCTCTCTTTCTGTCTGTCTCATCTGCACACGCGCGGGCTGTGGAGTGTGACAAATCTAAGGGACTCCTGAGATCTTCCCCTTAAATGAAATGGCCTCCTCTTAGAATCCAGTAGTACTCTCCAGAGTAACTTCTCATACAACTGCTCATTGCCAAGCACCATTAGAAGATGGAATGCATGCTGCTGTGTGAAATACAAGCAGGAAGACATTGACATGAAGAAATGCAACAGCTTACAGGAGACAAAGCCACTGTGGATGGAAGAAAGTGAGAAAGCAGAACGCATCGCTGAAAATGCAAATACATGAATTCATTTATTGTTATGATGCTGAAACTATGATGTGAAAGCATCAGACTGCTTCAGAAAATGAAAATTTTGTTATTATTTACTCACTTCATGTCAAATCTAAACCTGTATTTGTTTTTATTTATTTATTTTAGTGGGAAAGAAAAGAAGAAGAAGAAGATAAAAAAACACTGGCCTTATCTATAAAACAGGATCATAGTAAATACAAACAATACAAAATAAAACAAAATATTTTAGAATAATCATCTCCACTGCAGCTCTTGATTGATGTCATCTGATTGATAAGTGTCATTCAATATGTGAACAAATTATTATTTTCAAATGAACCAGTTGATTCAGTTCACTTCACTAACTGGATGGAACGATTCATTTACGAATAGGAAAGATCCAGTCAAACGAGTTCACAGTTCACTTACTCAATGATCTGCAGATCTCAAGTTTATAGTTCACTGCAAGAAAGAATTATCAGTGAATAATGATTGAAATTTCAGTCTGTGCCAGTGTTATTTTAGTATTATTTATATACTATTCATTAATATTTTAAATGAGCATTTAGTTTTATATTTTCAGTTTTAATTTTAATTTTAGTTAGAATTAGTTTTTGTAACTATTTCTATTCAGCTTTACTTTTATTTCAGTTTTAGTTTTTGTAATTTTAATACTTCAACATTTTATTTTAGTTGCAAAGGCAACATTTCACATTTTGTTCAAGTTAAATTTAGTACAATTGTTTATAAAATATTTTTATTTTATTTAATTTTAAGATTTATTTCGGTCAACTAAAAAGATTTGTAATAGTTTTAGTTTTGGTTAACGATAACAACACTGGTCTTGAGTCTTTCAAATTACACTTTTTGTCTTTCACAAAGGAAAATAAAAGGATTCAGGGTTGGAATGACATGAGAGGTAGAAAATGACGACAGAATTATTATTACTTTTTTTTTGGTAGACTACTCCTTTAACTGTGAGCATGTCTCAAAACTGCTTTGCTTTGAGGACTAGGGATCTGAATATAGACAATGTCATGTTTCATGGGGTCCAGCAAAGGGTCTCCACAGTTGTAAAAGTAGCCAGTCAGCTGCAGCCAGTGGTGATCTAATCACCAACCAGCCTGCCTACCCAAGGATTTCTCACTATCTCAGCTTTTCTCTTCTCTAATGCTGCAACACAACCATCTTCTGTCGGCTCTGCCGGCCATTGGAGTGGATAAGTAATTCATATATTGGGCAAGGTGTGGGGAGTGAGTGGCATTTATAAGCTTGCTATCTCTGAGCTTCAAGCCAGTGATGAAAAGACTCTCCGCTCAGAGACATTACAGTGTATAGGATGGATGACAGGTCCGCTCAAGAGTAACAACACTGGGACAACAAAACACCAAGTAAAGAAAAAAAAATCATGAGGAGGTGAAAAATAGCTGGGTGAATGTGAGCCGACAAATAAACACAATTATATACTGTACAGAAAGGTACAAAGGTATGAGGCCACATCTGAGATTTATCATCTAATTTAAAAGGTTTTAGGGTCTAAAAATATTCAACAAATGAACAAGTATTTAAGATTCTGTACTATTTATAGGTCACTCATCACTCAATTTAATTTGTGTCTCTTTGTATTGACAATTAGATGTTCTTGCTACCACTGTAACTCTTTGAATCATTAAAGCAAAATGGGTGACAAACCAAATAAAAAAAAAACATTCAATTCACCTTTTCACTTAGATTGTTATGTTGATAACGTTTATGAAGAAAAAATATATAATATATTAATAATGTGTGTGTGTGTGTGTGTGTGTGTGTATACACATCGTTTTTTTTTAATAGCCTTTATATATATAAAACAAAAAGACCTTGGTCAATATATATAGTCAAGAAGCACAGAATATGTGATCTAGACATTATATGTGAATGTGTGGTTGATGTTTTAGGCTAATCTGCTGAAATAAGGTAGGGTGACAAACCAAATAAAAAAAAAACATTCAATTCACCTTTTCACTTAGATTGTTATGTTGATAACGTTTATGAAGAAAAAATATATAATATATTAATAATGTGTGTGTGTGTGTGTGTGTGTATACACATCGTTTTTTTTTAATAGCCTTTATATATATAAAACAAAAAGACCTTGGTCAATATATATAGTCAAGAAGCACAGAATATGTGATCTAGACATTATATGTGAATGTGTGGTTGATGTTTTAGGCTAATCTGCTGAAATAAGGTTGTATTTGTGATGGTGGATTGATAAAGGATTCCCATAATGAAACAAGGCTCTCGTTTTGAGGGTCTTATCAACTCCTGCCTCTCCATCACAGTGATGGTTATCACTACTGTGGCTACTAAAATCTGCTAAGGAAAGATAAGTCGGGCAGTGCTGAATCCTTATTGATGAGAGAAAAGTCTGGATTATGTGATGCTTGCTGGGGAAATCTTTCACACGGACCACAGGTATGCCGAAATGTACTCGTTTAAACTACATCAGAACACGTTTTTTTAACTGGCCCAGTGTGCAACATAAAATAATACATATTGGAATCATTCGTTTGGTACAAAGTACTTTGCAGGAAACAAATACAGTTAAATCATTATGAGAAATTAAATTCTTAAAAAAATAAAAATAAACCCATATGAGCTCATTAATTCCAACTACAGCTAGAGTCCTTTCTGAGTCACCTGGCTCAACCCTGACCTCACCTTCTGGATCGTTCAACATGGAGCCAAAGGCACTGATGATGAAGTCTGCTTTCAGGTGGACAATTTGCTCCTTATCAACAATCCAGGTCCCATCACCCTGCTGCTCTGTGCGGCAAAAACGCAGGCCAACGACGCGTCCATCTTTCTTGATTACCTCATGAGGAGACAGGAAGGGCAGGAACTCACACTTTTCCTCTTTGGCCACCTCCATCTTAAAAAACAGAAATCAAAAGAGAAGCATGTGATTCTAATTGCTAACATTTGAATGCGTGAAAACAGAGTTAACTTCATGCATTCATCTTTAGAAGGTGGTCATGACACTAAAATTTAAGTATTGGCTATACTTCAAAAACTGAACTGAGCCTGCTTACAGACATCATGACCCGTTTTAACATACCGCACCATTTATCTGGAAACCCAAATTTTCCCAGTGAAAATCTCCTAAAAGTTTCTACAAAGCCAAGTTTCAAACCCCAGAAAGCATTTTTGTATCTTTCACTCTCTACTGAACCCTCCAGCTTATCCCACTCCTTCCACTGTTTCTCCTGATAACTTTAGCAGTGCATTGCTTCTTTCCTCTTAAGAATCTCCAATAAAACACTCCAGTATAAATCATTTACCAGGTTCACAAGCACAAGACTCCTAAAACCCTTCCATATGCACTTTTGACCTCCTCTTCAACCTTTCTTTTCTCCATCTTACACTCCTCTACATCACCTCCACCATCACCTGACCTCCCTAACTTCAGGTCCTCTTCACGTCGGTTTGTAGTCATGGACATCTGACAGGTTATAAGAATCTTTACTGCCCTTTCTCAACAGTGAAGAGTAGTAGTTCTCAACTGGTGTGTAGTGACCCAAAAATGGGTGACAAGTCTGTTCTGATAGGATCATGGATGGAAGGGATAATATTAAATTAAATTGTATGTCTATTGTGAAGCAAGACAGACTGTGTTCAAGTATCCCAGACTACACCTGCAAGAACAACTTCATTGTTGAAAATTGGTTTTGAAATGGCACACTCCACAAAAAACAGCCCTAATCACAAGCAATTGAATTACAGGTCTGCACTCACATTGTTTTGTACCTTCAGAAAAGTACCTACTGGATATAATGGGAAGGACTCACTTCATCTCCACATCCATTGGAGTTCCATAGGGTTCAGTTTTGTAGTCATGGCTTCATCTTTCATTCTTATTGAGCTGATAATCAATTAATTCTCACTTTCCCACCCTCTGACAACCACGTATCTCACAAATCACCTTGTGTCTGGCTAGCATTTTTACCTAGATGAACGGCTGTCTCTGAAGCTAAATTTATTTAAAAAAAGCTTCTGTGCATCCCATCTAAAAACCACCCTTGCCAAGACCTTGTCGTTTCAATAAACAACTCCACCATCTCACCCACACAGAAAGCTAAGAGCCCTGATGTCACACTGGACAACAACCTGTCATTTGCAACACATAAACTAACCACAGTCAAGACACACAGATTCCTCCTGCTGAATATCCAGAGTCAGCCCTTTCCTTACCAGGGAACAGTGCTGTAGGTTTTATTCATACATAGACCACACATCAATTACCATCATCAAAACCTCCACCCCCATTCTGCAATTTACTCCATTGCAAACTGACATTTGAAATTCAAAGTTTCAAAAACATTTATTATATTATTTTTAAAAGTATTATTTATTTGCACTAGGTTAATTGTATCTATATTAGCTTTATTTGTACTAGCAAGCACTTGTTTGTATTTGTACACAAATAATTTATTTTCCTAGCAGATAATGTTCTAAACTGTATGCTTACCATCTGTTGATCACAATGGTCTCATGTGTCAAGCTAAAGAGCTTTTAGTAAGTCGTTCTGGAAAAAAAGTGTCTGCTAAATTCCTTAAACGTACATGAACAGAGTAGAAATAAAACACCTTTCATAAAAATCCTTCCTTTATGAAAAGGCTTAATTTACGGCCATGGTGCATTAGCACACCCGTTTGAATGTTCGCAGAGCAAAGGCAGAGCTAATAGTTGCTGTAGTTACACATTTCTAAGTTTAACTTTCTTGTCACTGTTGCTATGGCAGCATTGCAACAGTTGTCATTGAGAAAAGAATATGTCTTAATTACTTTGTTAAAAAGCTCCACAGAAAAATAAATCTTGTTATATAAAGCTCAGCATGGTCACCTTTACAGAAACTTATCTCACCTTTTTCCTGACAAACTTTTTTCAACTGCTTTTACGCCAAGGTTTTTTCTTTGAGATGGGAAAGTCTTTCTATGGGTAATACCAATAAATATACATCATTCTGTAATCTATTGTGTTTGGCAACAGCTAACCTAGGCACTAGGTACAGTATAGGCATATAAATTGTATATAATATAAACTGGAGAAATGTAAGATTTAAATGAATAAAATTGCTATTCATAAACTGTTCAGTATAAAGTGGAAGACAATATGGCATCTGGCTTATTCTGTAAACATTTTCACAGATGAATCAACAGTCTAACCTCTATTCAAGTGCAAGACAGCGAGTGTACACACATACAGTACTGTGAAGGATACTAAACATTCCCCTCAAAAACTGTGTCTGCTAAGACGCTATGGGAAAAAAGCCTTTTATCTCCTGAACTGAAGCCTTTTTTTCAATCACGCAGTGAAACTGCACGACAATGGTTCATGCAGTGTATAAAAAATGAACCAATGGCTCGGCAGCAGAGCTACACGAGCCTATGGCGACAAAGCCCGCCAGAATGGGCGGAGCCATCTCGCTATATAAGTGGGCATTCTCCACAGGATTCTCAGATCACTTCGACTGAAGCGACGACTGAGTCATGTGGCTACATAGCACGGCTAGCAACGCAGTACTCGTTCCCGTATCTCAGGGAACGTCTCTAGGTTACATATGTAAAATGTCCTGCAAGGCCACACCAAAGTTGAAAGCCTTGGAGGCCGCCATACTCCTGGTCGAGTGCGCTCTGACCCCCATAGGTGACGGGAGGCCAGAGGACTCATAGGCTAGTGAGATGGCCTCGACCACCCACCTACTCATGGTCTGCTTGGTCACTGGAGATCCTTTCTTTGGCGGACCAAAACAAACAAATAGCTGATCTGCCATATGCCATGGGGCAGCTCTGTGTGCGTAAGCGTCCAGTGTTTGAACTGGACAGCAGATTAAGCCTTTCTTAGCCTACTTCCTGGAACAGAGGAGGACGGAATGCCTGAAGTACTATGGGCCCTGATGAAGAAGTGGGCACCTTAGGGACATACCCGACACTTGGGTAAAGGAATGCCCTAACCATGCCTGGAGCAAATTCCAGGCACGAAACAGAAAGTGCCTGAAGATCCC